AAGTAGGGGTGCGGGTCGGCGAGGCCTGGGTCAAAGGGTTTCCGAAGAGTGGGAGGAGATGGGAGTACGGCCTGGGGGGATCTGGTCCATCCGGGCCAGACCTGCCCCCTGCAGCCCCAGCGTGGACCCCCTGCATTCCTTTTCTCTGGTTTTCATCACGCTCAGGTTTGGACCTCCTCCCATTTCTCTCCCCACCCGGGGTCCACCCAGGACTTAAGGGGAGCTCTGGAGAGAATGGGAGGGGCCGCTGTGGCCCCTGGGTGGGGCGAAGGAGAGACAGCTCCCTGGGTGTGGGGTAGAGTCCCCGATGGAAGGGGTTAGGGGTGGGGTCTGAGCCGCAGGCTCTTGCAGGGCTGTCCTAAGGGGTCTCCACCCACAGAAAAGAGCGAGTCCTGAAGAAAGTATCAGGAACCAGTGGGGGCATTTAACAACCTGGCAGGCTGGGTCTCTCGACAGGAAGCTCTCAAAACATTTCCCAGAAGCCGGTCTCAGTGACTCATGCCTGTAGACCCAGCACTTTGGGAGGCTAAGAGAAGAGGATTGCTTAAGCCTAGGAATTTGAGACCAACACAGGCAACATAGCGAGACCTCATCTTTACAAAAAATAAAACAATTAGCCAGGTGTGGTGGCATGCGCCTTTCCTCACAGCTACTTGGGAGATTGAGGCAAAAGGATTGACTGAGCCCAGGAGGTCGAGGCTGCCATGAGGATTCTATTGTGCCAATGGACTCCAACCTGGGTGACAGAGTGAGACTCAGACTCAAAAACAAACAAACAAATAACAGCCCCCCTACATTTTCCAGAGCCCACCTTGCACCTGGTGTGGTGCTGGGTGCTGAGGTGTAGACTTGGACCCACAGACAGGAGGGAGAGCTAGAGTTGCCAGCAACCAATTAGAACTGTCGTTTTCACGCTTCTAAAATTGTGACCCACAACAAAAAACATACTATGTGCCCTCACACGTTCTTTTTCTCACCTGCACACATGCACAGTAGAGGTAAAACTGCCTTGAAGCAATTCTTACCCTACTAGGGTGATTCCCTCTGGTATTTTATTTTTTGTTCTATTTCACTAAAAAAATTATACAAATCACTACCGGGAGCATTGTCTAATGAGTTGTGAGATGTTCTTTGGAAAACCTTGAACCCAAGTACCTTCATCAGTGGTGACCTCGATGATGTGAATATATCCCTCAGGTCAGAGAGACCTCAGGTTGGGGTGCACTTGGACGAGGCATCCTGAACATAAGTTTCCACCTCTGTAAAATGGGTTTCCACTGACCTGGCAGTGAAGTCCCAGAGGTTATAAAAGAAAGGTACAAAGTACCTGGCATGTGTCCTGGGGGTTCTCTTCCCTGAAGGCAGAATGTGCTTTGAGTAGGGAGTATAGACAAAAGGGTAAACCTTTCTGGAGGCTTCCCTACATCTGGTTTATAGACCCCCTTCAGGCCATTTAGAGTTTCACTGTGCAGGTCTCAGATATTTCCTTCCTGTCCCTGCCCCAGCCACTGGGCATGGACTCTCTCCAAGGCCTCCCAGAGAGCAGGTCCGTGGGCAGCTGGTGGGTGGCTGGGGCTCTGGTCTCTAGGGAGCACGTATGCTGAGCTGCTACCAACCTCCTGCCTCTGCCTTCCAGATTCTTAGTGCCACCATTGAGAACTCCAAGATTGTCCTGCAGATTGACAATGCCCGTCTGGCTGCAGATGACTTCCGCACCAAGTGAGTATCTACCCTGGGCGCTGTAGAAGCTGGGAGTGGGAGTGGTAGGGGGGGACTGGACTCTGCATTCACCTACCTCAGCTAGCCTTCAGCATTCCCCTCCCACCTCCCCCCTCCACCCCATAAACTCTGGGGAGGTGGGGACATCCTCAGACTCTGGCCTGACTGCAGCCACTTCCTCCAAAAGGTTTGAGACGGAGCAGGCCCTGCGCATGAGTGTGGAGGCTGACATCAACGGGCTGCGCCGGGTGTTGGATGAGCTGACCCTGGCCAGGACTGACCTGGAGATGCAGATCGAAGGCCTGAAGGAGGAGCTGGCCTACCTAAAGAAGAACCACGAAGAGGTGGGTTCCAAGCTGGGCCTCCCATCCATCCTTCCCTTACTCCCCAGGGTTGAGGACACTCTTCGCCTGTGTCCTCTGAGCATGGCCACACTTGTTGCACCCTCAGCATGGCCCTGGATCACGGCTCTCAGGGATCGTGCAGTAGGGGACAGTAATGACCCAGGCTGTCCCCCAGTGCTGGCTCCTGGTTCTGCATCTGATGACCATCCCCCTTTGGCCTGGAGGGTGGGGGAGTGACCTGGCCCGTGCCCAGCAGGCTCTGGGCCCTGGCATGCCCCCCTCTGCTGTGTCTTTCCAGGAAATCAGCGTCCTGAGGGGCCAGGTGGGTGGCCAGGTTAGTGTGGAGGTGGATTCTGCTCCGGGCATTGATCTTGCCAAGATCCTGAGCGACATGCGAAGCCAATATGAGGTCATGGCTGAACAGAACAGGAAGGATGCGGAAGCCTGGTTCACCAGCCGGGTATGCAGGGGAGGCTGCCCCTTGGGGGGGGGGCAGCAAGGAGAGGGGGCTGGGTGCTCCCTCCCAAGGGCCTGCCTTGGCACTTATTCCCTCCTCCTCCACCTTCCCCCTTGCAGACTGAGGAGCTGAATCGGGAGGTTGCTGGCCACACCGAGCAGCTCCAGATGAGCAAGTCTGAAGTCACCGACCTGCGGCGCACTCTCCAAGGCCTGGAGATTGAGCTGCAGTCACAGCTCAGCACGGTAGGTACCCCCCTTCCCTGTGGGGTGCACAGTTGTGCCTGTGCGGCCTTGGGCAGCCCACGAGTGGCTGTACCTGTGCCCTCAGGCTCCGCTGAGTCACCTGCCCTCTCCCTTCCCTCAGAAAGCCGCCCTGGAAGGCACACTGGCGGAAACCGAGGCCCGCTTCGGTGCCCAGCTGGCGCAGATCCAGGCCCTGATTGGCAACATCGAGGCCCAGCTGGGTGATGTGCGCACGGACAGTGAGCGGCAGAACCAGGAGTACCAGCGGCTCATGGACATCAAGTCGAGGCTGGAGCAGGAGATTGCCACCTACCGCAGCCTGCTGGAGGGCCAGGAGGCCCACTACAATGACCTGTCTGCCCCCAAGGTCTTGTGAGGCCACAGGCTCTGGGCTCCTGCCCTCCTGCGGGGGTGTCCTGGGCAGGGGGATGGGAAGGGAGGGACCCTCACCTCTGGCTCCTCCCCTGACCTGCCAATAAAATTTGATGACTCCAGGGAGGAAGAACGTTTGGTTTGTTATTTCAGCCCTTGGAGAGATGGGTCAGGTCTTATTAAGGTTTTATTTGAACCAAAGTTTGCCCTGTCCCAGGAGAGGGAAGGGCGGACACTCATATACTTTGTAATGGTAGTTCTTGTTTGCAGAAGTTTACGTTTATTTAACCTGCTGCTTACTATAACCTTGTGAAATAAGCATTGCTTCCATTTTGCAGAGAGATAACCTAAGGTTTGGAAAGGTGAAGTGGTTGTTTTATATGTAACTACACAGTGTCTCCTGTTCAAGCTACTTCACAGCAACTGTCCCCAAGGCCTCCCAGAGAGCAGGCCAGCGGGTAACCAGTGGATGGCTGGGGCAAGGGTGGGATTTTTTTTTTTGAGTTGGAGTCTCATTCTGTCGCCCAGACCAGCGTGCAGTTGCCGCTCCCGGCAGCCTCGACCGGCTGGGCTCCGGCGATCCTTCCGCCTCAGCCTTCCGAGTAGCCGGAATTACAGGCACGCGCTACCATGCCCGGCTGATTTTTTGATTTATTGTAGAGATGAGGTCTCACCAAGTTGCCCAGGCAGGTCTCGAACCCGCGGGCTCAGGCAATCCACTCACCTCAGCCTCCCAAAGGCACGGGATTACAGGCTGAGCCACCGAGCCTGGCAAGAGTAGGATTTTAAACTGTAGTTTTTACTTCCAAATTTAGTTTTCTTTCTACTCTATACCCCTGGGGGCTGGAGTGTCTGTGTGAAATGAATGTTTATTGAACACCTACTGTGTGCCATTGAATCAAAACAACCCTAAAAGTTAGATAGTATGAATTGCATCTTACAGATCAAGTAATACGCTCTGAGAGGTTAAATCACTTGTCCAAAGCCATACAGCAACTACGTGCAGAGCCAGGATTAGAATCTAAGTTGCCTGATTCTCAGCCCACAGTGCTATTCCTGTCCAGGGGGTCTCCTAGAGTTGACAAGTGGCTGCCTTGTTAATATGCCAGTCTTGTTCCACGGCTCAAAAGGGGGACCCCAGGGGCAGTTCCTTCTGACACATTTCTCCACCTACCTCACTGAACCTGGGCTTTGGGGTAGGTACTCGATGAGAGTAAGGCTGGCATGTGCCGTGTGTGTGCATGCACCAACACAATCATGCATTTCGGGGCATCCCCACATAAGCCCTGTACGCCCACCAGCCCATTCCTGGGCCCAGAGCCTGGAAGGGGACCAGGTGGTGACCCAGACCTCCCACACAGAACCCCAGCCTGGCTTGCCCAAGGCCTGGGCCTGTAAAGAAGTTCCTGGTACAACTGTGCCCTTCGGTGGGTATGGCCCTGCCCATGTGGTTACAGCTCAGCTGCCAAGAACCGAGGCCAATTCAAGGTAAATAAGGGGCCCGTAAAGAAGGCCCGCTTCTCCCTGGCAGATGATCAGGTGCAGGACGCTTCCTTGTGAAGTTCTGCTTCCTCGTCCCTGTCCTGAGAGGGTCTCCCATGGGGAACCAGGTTGAAGGCTTGCTGCCGGGTGCATGCTGCACCTTGCCGGGGAGCCCCATGATCCTGTCACAGCCCGCGACCACCCTGGAGGAGGTGCTATTTCCTCCTTTTTCCTGTGGGTCTCAGGCGCATTAGCTTGTTGGCTGGTTTCGAACATGTGATCCCAGCTCTTCATTTTCCCTGCTGCAGTCTTGGGATAGAACCCCCTTCTGCCACCTCCCCAGCTGCTCTACTCTGGCCTCCAGCACCCCCAGCACCCCTCCTTCCAACACAACTTCTCAGGACTTGGAACTGGAGGCAGAGAGGCCTGGCCGCACCCTCAGGCTGGGACTGCCTGGAGATACTTGTCCCTGCCCATGAAAGCCTCCCTTGTCACAGCTGAAACCCTCCCTCCCCTTCAGGGGCCCCTGGTATGTGGCTGGGGGCGGGGTCTGGGCCTACACAGGTGGGGCAGGTGACTGGGTCTCAAACCTGGGTGTCAGGAATGAAGCCTGCCTTTGTGTGTGCACTGTGGGGGGAGGGGTGAGGGCGGGGACACTTTTCTGTCTCCTGTGGAAGCTTGTCCCAGGAGACCAGGGACAGGAGAAAGAGGAGAGTGAGGGGCTGGGTTGAGGGGGTTCACCTTTCCATGCTGCTGGTCATCATGGCCACTTGTCTGCAAAGCATTTCCCATCAGTCATCTGTGTCTATCTCCATGAGTCACGCTGGCTGGAGTTATTTCCATTTTAATGATTGGTAGATGAAGGCCCAGAGAGAGGAGGCATCATTCCCTAAAGCTGCACACTGAGCAAAAAGGAAAGGAGGGATTCCAAGGCCAGCCTCTAGGACCCAGGTCGTGTGCTCTGTCCCTGGCATCTCCCTGGGCAATGGGGAGGGTGGGAGGAGCATCCATCTAAGGTTTATGGAGACCTCCCTCCCCTTGTGGCCACAGATGCTCACTATTGCCCTGTGGCTGGGGCCAGTGTTAATGGCCCAATTTGAAGTCAAGAACTGTGCTCAGAGAGGTTGAGTCACCTCAGGGGTGGATTGGATTCCAACCCAGGCTCTTCCCACCGGTCTGCACTGCCCGTCCCAAGGAGGAAAGCCTGCTCCAGAGACAGTCTGTCTGCTGCAGCGGGTCAAGGTTGGAAACCTGGGGCAGGGCCCGGGGCTGCAGCCTGGGCTGGGGCCTGACAGAGCTTTATACCAGCTCCAACCTTGCAAGTTTTCCTCCATGTGCTAATGACCAGACCCCAGGGTCCCGCCTAGTCTTTGAGCTCATGGTGGTAGTCATTTGGAGAAAAACATCTCGAATTTGTAACTGGGGCAGCGAGGCGGCAGCTGCCGTCCCTGGTCTGGGCCTGTGAGTGGAGGGAATGCCACTTCGAGGGGCGGCTGGAGGGGAATCAGGGTGCAGAAGGAGGGCTGGCTGGGGTCCAGCCCTCCCTCACCTGAGTAATTGCTCCTGTGTTAATTGCTGGGGCCGTAATGTCTGCAGAGGTTTTAATGAGCTCTGGCTAATCTGAGTTTGATTATTTTTCTTTCTGAGGAAACGACAGTATCCTCCCAGCCATGAGACAATGCCCCACTGTCTGTGCCCACATGCAGAGGCCTGGCCCTCTTGGAGGCTGAATGAGGAGGGCCCACCCTACTCACCCAGGTCCACAGCTCCCTTCACCTCAGCTCAGCTGCAGGAGTCTGGGGTCTGAGGAAGGGACTCCCTTTTCTGTCCCCTGTTTGGTTGGGGGCCTGAGGACCTGTCTGAGTCCTGGCGATGCCCTTACCGACTGTGCCACCTTGCACAAATCACTTCACCTCTCTGAGCCCCAATTTCATTTCTTTTGAAATGTGAGCAGGGGTCCTCCTCTGTGTGGTGAGAATGAGAGGGGCGACGGATGCAAAAGGGCTTTGTAAATGGAGCAGGATGCGGCAGGAGGGAGGGATTACGTTATCACAGCAAAAGTAAGATCAGCTGCAGTGCCCCATAGGCACTGGCTGTGGAGGAGCAGTGCTGCTAAACTGGAAACGTGCTCAGGCTCACAGCACTTGTTCCGATACCCAAGGACAGAGTCCCTCTGGGTGTGGGTGCTTGGGAGGCCCAAGTGCTAGACATGCAGCCTGCTGTCTGGCCCTTCAGGAGATGGGGAGCCAGGAGGAGGTGGGATGGGCTCTTGGACCTTGGCTTCCCTGGAAGCGAGAGCTGAGAGTGTTCCCAGCCACAAGGAAACCGAGACTTGAAGAGGAAAATGTCTGAGGTCTTTCAGGTATAATTGATAGAGTCAGAATTTGAACCTGGGTCTGAGGGATCCCAGAGCCCTATCCACTTCACCACGTGGCAACCCTGGGCCAGGAATCCTCTTCCTAGCTCTCTACCCTTGGGCTTTCTGTAAGCCCTGGAGCCAGGTTCAGAAGGCCTGGCCACGCCTCCAAGTGGCACTGCCCAGGGGTGTCAGGGATGCCTGGAAAGCAGGGCCCCTGGGCTGGTGGGCAGAGGGAAGTTCTCTCCCATGTGTTGGACTCCCCTGGCCTCAGTGTCCTCCCGCGTGAAGAGATGCCTTGACCTTCAAGGTCTCTGGTGCCTTCGAGCCCGCTCACCAGGCCTCCCGTCTCCTCCCTTCCCACAATGCTCAGGCATGCACAGCCTTCCGGGGGCAGCCCCCATCCCCCAGCTGTGAAGCCCTTGACAGAATGAATGGGGTTCATCAGGCCTGCTAAGCAGCGACATGCCTCTCCTGGAGAAGGCAGGGTCTTCCTGGAACATGCCCCAGCTTTATCGGGAGAGGTTTGCCCCAACGCGTCCCGGGAGCAAGCAAAGGTTCAGTGACATGTTTGGCAGGTGGTGGGATCATCCATCAGCTCCTTGTCACCCCTCAGCCTGCTGGGCTTTTGTGCAGCTGCCAGGGCCATGGGCTGGAGGCTGGGAGGCTGGCGAAGCAGAAAGGGGCTTGTGTGGGGGAGGGGAGTAGAAGTGGGAGGGAGAGAGTCCATTTGCAGCACCAGGGAAGGGCAGATGCTGGTCCCTCTGGTCACCTTAGCTGGGACTTGACTCAAGACCCCTCTCCTGTGCTCAGCCTGTTCCCAGGGGTCCTGTGTCCCAATCCCCAGAGAGCCCCACTCTCCCCAGCTCTGTGTGTCCTTGAACCAGAGAACTCAGAACAGTGATTGGGAAGCCAAGAATGGGGCACTGTCCACCGGGGGCTCCTGGGCTGGGGACAGCAAGAGGTCTAGTCGTGGGCGCAGGCGACCCGAGCCATCCTAACAGTGCAGGCTTTGGTGGCCGTGTAGTGGTAAGAGTTTGTTGCTCTCTCTCTTCTCCCAGAGTGGAGAGATGAACCCGTAATCTAAGTGTTAAAACCATGGCCCAGGGCTAAACACCATTCATTCTGAATCATCTCTTTTGTTGCATAAAAAAAAAAAAAGAAAAAGAAAAACTTCACCCAAGCCATGCTGAGGTGTGCAGGCAGCTGTGTTTGTTGGGGAGGCAGAAGGAGTTGGCTTTGTCTCGGGGGAGGAGACGAGGTCCCACGACACCCTCGGAGGGGTATATAAGGAGCCCCAGCCTGGGATGACAGGCGCCACACTCTGCTGTCAGCCCAGCCTGGCGCCTCCTGCCAGTGTCTCTCGAGCTTGCTGAGGAGTCCCCGACTCTGGTGGCCTGGCCATGACCACCACATTTCTGCAAACGTCTTCCTCCACGTTCGGCGGGGGCTCTACCCGAGGGGGCTCCCTCTTGGCTGGGGGAGGCGGCTTTGGTGGGGGGAGTCTCTATGGGGGCGGTGGAAGCCGCAGTATCTCAGCTTCTTCTTCCAGGTTTGTTTCTTCAGGGTCAGGAGGGGGCTACGGGGGTGGCATGAGCTGCGGCTTTGGTGGAGGGGCTGGGGGCGGTTTCGGTGGAGGCTTTGGAGGTGGCGCTGGAGGGGGTTTTGGTGGTAGCTTTGGCGGGAGTTTTGGCGGTGGCTTTGGTGGTGGCGATGGTGGTCTCCTCTCTGGCAACGAGAAGATCACCATGCAGAACCTCAACGACCGCCTGGCCTCCTACCTGGACAAGGTGCGCGCCCTGGAGGAGGCCAACGCCGACCTGGAGGGAAAGATTCGAGACTGGTACCAGAAGCAGGCTCCGACCAGCCCCGAACGTGACTACAGCCACTACTTCAAGACCATGGAAGAGCTCCAGGACAAGGTGAGCCCTCGGACATCAAAGGGAGGGGATTGGGCGGCTGGTGTCCTGTGCCTGTCCCCAGTGTCAGTGTTCCTGCTGACTCGAGGAAATCCATTCCTGCCCAGGCAGCGACAGTCTGGTTTGTAACCTCGGCAAACTTGGAATGCATCTGCTTTCTAGGTGCAGAGGCGGGAGCACATCTGCTCAACTTGGTGGTGCCCGGGGAGGGAAGGACCAGCAGGGGCACAGGCGGGGATGCTTATGAAGAGCACCCTGCAGGATTTTGCATAAAGTGTTCCTTTACCTTCTGGCAAGAATGGGGTTGGATTGCAGCCCCAGGAGCCCTGAATGCCGAGACCACTCGCCTTTGCTGCAAGGATGTCTGCGGTGCCAATGGCACTGTTGGGACATTATAAGCTTGGCCACTTACTAACTCGCCCTCTCTGTCCCTTGACTGCGTTCTTCAGGAAAATACCTTCTTTAGCTGCCCTGCAGGTTCCCAGGCTGGAATGTTCTGTAGCTCCATGGCGGTGTCCATGTGTGGGAGGCAATGACCTCGAGTTGTCCATGGGGAGAGGTGCTGGCAGAGCGACCCTGGGAGTACTAACATCAGATCCAACCACACCCCACTCTCCCATGTCCCTGTGTCCAGTCCCTCAGGGGATTCCAGCAACGATGCCTCCTTGGTCTCTCAAGCCCTGGAGATGGGGCGGGCAGCCCCTCAGGTGGTCCAGGGAGGGTGGTGTGGGGCAGACCAGATGAGGAGCGCCCAAGGAGAGGCTGGTCTTTGTCCACCCTGGGGGCCCTACAGGTTCCCAAAGGTGATGTCAGAAGGGAGACTGTCTGTGAGGGGTGGCCTTGGGTGCAGAACTGAGAGCAATGGGGGAGAGGGAGGCATCCTCCAGGCACCCACTCCCCGTCTCCTGCAGATTCTGGCTGCTGCCATCGACAACTCCCGGGTCATCTTGGAGATCGACAATGCCAGGCTGGCTGTGGACGACTTCAGGCTCAAGTGCGCCCCTGCCTCCCCCTCCCCTTCCTGCACTGTCTTCTCACCTGGCCTTCCTCTCCCTCCACTCAGGCAGCCCTTTCTCTCTTCCCAGGTATGAGAATGAGCTGGGTCTGCGCCAGAGCGTGGAGGCCGATATCAACGGCCTGCGCCGGGTGCTTGACGAGCTGACTCTGGCCAGGACAGACCTGGAGATGCAGATCGAAGGCCTGAAGGAGGAGCTGGCCTACATGAAGAAGAACCACGAGGAGGTGGGAGGGGGAGCAGGTGTGAGGTGGGATAGGAGGAGGTGGGAGATGAGTGGTTGGAAGGGGAGGAAGAACAGGGTTGCTGGTGCCTTCTCTTGGTTGGCTGTGAGCTTAGTAGTTCAGAAAGAGCTCTCCCCCTAAAGCAGGGGTCCCCATGGAAAGGAAAGGGCACTGTCCTCTGATGGCCCAGACCCACAGCTAGGCCAGGTGGCCCGTGTGCACTGCTTCCTTCCTAAATGGTTTTGAGAACTTACACCAGGGTCGTACGGTCTTGAGTTTCTGCCTCAGTAGGACCTAGAGCAGAATAGAGACTTCCAGAGCTGAGGGGTTCATGTGCTCAAACCTCTTCACTTGTGGGGGGGCAGAGGTCAGGTGAGATTGGGACAGAGCCAGGATTGGCATGAGGGACCCCAGGCTCTCGACTCTGTCTTCTGCCCTCCTGCTCTAAATAAGCTCCTTCCACCCCACAGGAGATGAAGGAATTTGGTAGCCAGCTGGTTGGCCAGGTCAACGTGGAGATGGACGCGGCCCCGGGTGTGGACCTGACCCGTGTGCTGGCAGAGATGAGGGAGCAGTACGAGGCCATAGCAGAGAAGAACCGCCGTGACGCCGAGGCCTGGTTCTTCAGCAAGGTGGGCCTGGCCTTCTTCCCCACTCACCCAGCTCCCTGAGTCTCCAGGGAACCCCAGGTGCTCACTTCTCTTGGGTATGACCTCCAGACCGAGGAGTTGAACAAGGAGGTGGCCTCCAACACAGAAATGATCCAGACCAGCAAGACGGAGATCACAGATCTAAGACGCACCCTGCAGGGGCTGGAGATTGAGCTGCAGTCACAGCTCAGCATGGTACGGACCCTGTGCCCCACCCTTGCCTCTCCGGCAGCCGATGTGCCCGTCCTCCATGGCTGGACAACCCTTGGCATTCTCAAGCCCCTCCACAGGGGTTCCCTGCACTCCACTCAATCCCCTACCTCCATGGCCCTTGCTGGGTTCCTTTCTTGCCCGATGTGTCTACATATCTGCTTCCCACCAACCCTACTCCTTCCCCAGAAAGCCGGGCTGGAGAACTCGCTGGCGGAGACGGAGTGCCGCTATGCTACGCAGCTGCAACAAATCCAGGGGCTCATCAGCAGCCTGGAGGCCCAGTTGAGCGAGCTCCGGTGCGAGATGGAGGCTCAGGATCAGGAATACAGAATGCTGCTGGACATCAAGACACGGCTAGAGCAGGAGATCGCCACCTACCGCAGCCTGCTGGAGGGCCAGGACGCCAAGTAGGTGCACAGCCCAGGGAACGAGTGACGAGGGGTTGGTTGTGGCTGGGGTGCAGCATCACTCTGAGGGGATGGCAGGGTGTCCCTAAGAGTGACTGAACTGAGCAAGGAGAGCGGGTCTGGATACTCCAGGCTTTGGCTGTTTCTGTGGGCAGGTCACGTGTCTTCTCTGTACCTGTGTTCTTTCTGTGCATACCAGAGGTTATCTGGCGGTCTCTAAGCTCTGATGCTTGTCCAACCCTCTGCATGAAATAGATAGGTGTTCTTGTCGATCAGAGTCTATCTACTGGGGATAGCAGACCTGGATAGGATGTCCCAGCCACTAGAGGAATTGGGCGTGGAGTGGGCGTGTCTGGGCTGGAAAGGACCGCTGAGGCGTCTGCATGAGCTTCCCCTGGGGAGACCTGAGCGTTTGCTCTTTGCTTACATTGATGTCCCCTCTCTTTTAGGATGGCTGGTGCTGGCATCAGGGAAGGTAGGAAAGCTTCACTCTTCCTGGGTGGGGTGGAGAGCGGAGATGTTGAGCCCACCACTTCTCTAGAAACAGGGAGAACGGAGAAAGAACATCCCGGTAGTGCGGGGACATTCCCATTCCATTTGGTGCCTCTTCCCAGTGGTATGTCCATTGGCCCCAGGTGGAGCTAGTTTTGGAGATTTATCGAGAAACTACCAGGTTGAGCAGTCTTTGTCTAGCATGTCTCTCCCCCAAACCCCCTCTTCATGCCTTTCTGTTAAGATGCCCATGATTACCCGCAGTGATGTGCAGCTTAAATCCCTGATGTCATTGCTTCCTACCGGGCACACCTGTCAGTACCACTGCCCATCTCTTTGATGAGACCTTTTGGAAGCTCTTAAAGGGTTGGCCAGTGGTCATTTTTGGGGTGCTGCCCTATTTTCCCAGAGCCCAGTCCAGGTCCTGGCCCTCTTGGGAGAGAGGGGAGGCTCCTGCTCTAAAACTTGCACCTTCTCTCTCCAGCCTCTCTGGGAGGCGGTAGTGGAGGCAGCAGCAGTGGTGTCCGCATCAAGGTGGAAGAGTCAGTGGATGGAAAGGTGGTTTCTTCCCACAAGAGAGAAGTCTAAGTGCCTAGCACAAGAGAAACGTCCCTCGCCATCCCCCACCGAACCTAGGCTGCGTGGAGGACCCGCCAGAAGGACTGGACAAGCAAACTCCAGTCCCTGCCTCCAGAGGGCAGCCAGCCAAAGAGGCTGGTCTTCTAGTTTGGGGTCTGCATGCTCCCTCCCCCATCTCTCTCTCCTCCTTTAGAGCAAAGAGATACAAGAAGCAGCTGTCCTGTGTACCAATCTCATTTCCACGGGGTCTGTTCATGCAATAAAGACTTGCTTTTCCTTTTGCAAACATCTCTTGGTAGTGTGTCCAGTTTTTCTTGATGGACCCGGGTTGGCCTCTGACCTCTGACCTCAAACATGCATACGTTGACATCTTCCCCCATTTGGCCTTTTCTCTGTGTGGCCATCATTTTCTCTTTGGGGTGGTCAGGGCACAGGGGCCTGGGACACATCCAGTGCTACTCAGGTGACTTCTGGGTCACCCACCACGGGGTGATTGGGGAATTGAGGGTGGAAGGTCTCTCAGAGCAGACAAACAGAACTCGACACATCTAATACTCATTGACCAAGTGAACAATGGCCTTGATGGATGGGTAATAAGCAGCAGGGCTGGGCCTGGACCCACGTCTATAGGACTCCGAGACCAAGGCTTGCTCTGGGACCCCTGGCCTCCTTCATCGCCAGGACCCCCCTCCTTGCTTTTGGCCCTCACCATACGTGTGCTCCAACCGCCCCTTCTTTCTAGTCAAGCACACCTGATCTCCAGAGTAGCCGAGTGGGTCCCACCTCCACCCCCCCTGTAGAGCTGGCCTCCATGCTCCCTGAAGCCAATACCTCCTCCCAAAAGGCACTTAAAGTGCTCAGAGGGAAAGACAACAGGTCCAGGAAGTCCTCCTGATTTTTTTTTTTTCTTTTTTTGAGTTGGAGTCTCACTCCGTTGCCCAGACTGGAATGCAGTGGCCACTCCCGGCCACTGCAACCTCGACCTGCTGGTCTGGTGATCCTTCTGCCTCAGCCTACCAAGTAGCTGGAACTACAGGCACGCGCTACCACGCCTGGCTAGTTTTTGATTTATTGTAGAGACGAAGTCTCGCCAAGTTGCCCGGATGGATCTCGAACCCATGGGCTCAGGCAATTCACTCACCTCAGTCTCCCAAAATGCTGGGATTACAGGCTGAGCCCTGAGCCTGACTGGGCCTCCTGATTTTTCTAAGCTTAAGTCCAAAGCAACACTAACCCCTCTAGTCCTCCTTAACTCGAATCCCGCTCCTGCTTGCCTCTCCCCAGCGTCTCCACCTCAGGCCTGTGAGAGCAGTGGCCTCATGCACGCTGCATCAATTGCCTCTGGTCTGGGGCTGGTTTCTCTGAGCTCCTGGATTTCTTGCCCTGATCAGAGCGCAGGAAATGAAGAGCGGGGAACTCTGGGTGTCAGGTTGGGCTGGCTCATCCCTGGGTGAGGACCGGGTGGGGAGGGAGAACCGGTTTCTTAGTTCTGCTGAGTGGGAAGGGGCACCTTGGATGTGCCTCTGTTCTTTGGAGAACCTGATCTTTGTGGGGAAGAGCTGAGTCCTCTGAAAAGGTCCTCACGTGTCTCGCTGGTCAGAGCCCCTTCCCCGCTAACCCGGGTTAATGATGAAAGTAGTGCCTGCTCTTCCTGGGGTGGATTTAATCAAGAATGTGTCTCCCGAGAACACAAGGAGGCCAGGCTTCCCCAGGACTGGAGGAAGGAGACGGAGTTTATTGAGAGCCTACAACATGCCAGGCCCTGGGCAGGAGAACATTTTGTGATATGATGGCATCTCATTAACTCTCCGGGCAGCTCTGTGAAGCCAGTGCCAGCCGATGGTTACAGAAGAGGAAACTGAGGCCTGGGGAAGTTAAATAGTTTGAGTGAGGTCACAAGTCAGGAAATGGCAAAGCTGGGCCTGGGACTGGTCTCTCTGCTCCCAAGCCCTTGTTTTTCCCTTGTCATGAGGTGACAGAAGCCGTGACACCTTTCTTTAGAGGGTGTGCTGATCTGAAGCCCATTTCTTTTTTTTTTTTTTTTGAGTTGGAGTCTCACTCTGTCACCCAGACTGGAGGGCAGTGGCCGCTTCCGGCCACCGCAGCCTCGACCTGCTGGGCTCCGGCGATCCTTCCGCCTCAGCCTTCCAAGTAGCTGGAACTACAGGCGTGCGCTACTATGTCCGGCTGATTTTTTGATTTAATGTAGAGATGAGGTCTCGCTGCCCAGGCGGGTCTCGAACCCGCGGGCTCAGGCAATCCACTCACCTCAGCCTCCCAAATGCGCGGGATTACAGACTGAGCCACCGAGCCCGGCTTGAAGCCCATTTCTTAAACTTGGCTGGCAGCCTGTTCAAACATCATACAGCTGAAGATTGTCCTCTCGTGCTGTGGTTCAGGCTCACGCTGAAGCCCAAGCCATCCACTTCCGTGTCCCCCACATCCTGGGAACAGCCAGCCTACTTCCCAAGCCCCCTTCAGTCCCCGGCTGTTGAAGTTGGTGGCCTGGCTGCAGCTTCTGCTTCACTGACCTTTGGGCCTCTGTCCAAGTAGAGAGCAAGGGGTTTTCTCAGTCTTTAGTTCCCAAAATTGGTCTCTGCAAAAGGCACAGAAGAGCAAGTGGGACTCAGCCCGCAGGCTACATTCAGCGTGCCTTCCCTGGAGTCCAGACCCAGGGTTGGGGACAGGAGGGAAGTTTGCTTCTGTCTCCTTGGAATACCCATTTCTGCTCTCCTGGGTTCCCCAGAGAAGCTGTCCGAGAAACCCTTGGAACTCACAAAGTCCTGTCTCCAGCCTGAACCTAGAGTGAGACTCCCATGCCCCGGGATGGCTCATGCCCTGTTGAGCCCTTAAATAGACTCTGGGCAGAGATGGCACACCTTTTGACTGCCCCGGGGAGGAGGTCAGACTTGGTTTCCAGCGAATCTGGGAGGTAGGAGGTGGGCAATGTCCCCTCCCTTCTCTTCACAGAGACAGGGCGACTTTGGAACTAGAGATTAGGGCCTTGGGTGTGTCCTTGGCTCAGGCTGGGTTTCCCAGTGCTGACATGGCACATGCCTGCCACTATTTCCCTGAGAACTTCCGCTGGCTCCTGTCTCTCTCTGGGTCTCAGTTTCCCTCTGTAAATTGGGAGTCTGGATGGAAAAGTTGATCGCTAAGGTCTCTATGAGATGACCTGTATCCTGGGACTGCAGAGGGGACCTGAACTGTAGGATTTGTGACAGCAGGGACTGCTTACTCTATTCACTGCTGAGTCCTCGACGTGGGTGCTAAATAAATATCTGTTAAGCCAGTGCATGAACTTGGTTCTCCTGTGTTTTTTCCTGCCTTAGATATGACTTTGGACATTGACTGCTATGTTGGGCGTCTGCCCACCTGGTGGCCACCTGTCCCCCATGGCAGGTGGTGTAGCACAGGGGGGAATAAAAAGTTGGGATGGGGTGACCCCAATGGACTGCTCCTATTTGCCATTCCTTCCCACCTAAAGCTGGCAAAGTATTCCCAAAACAGCTTCTTAGGCATATATCATGGGCTTTCCTAGATAAGGAGCAGTATTTGGAGATATGAGGGGGGAACCCCCAAACCCCTGAATTTATTTATAAAAATTTGTATATTTATTCTTACATGTTTAAACTTCAGTCACCTTCAAATTGCTCTATGTTTGATGTGATACACTTATCAAGATGATTTTCCCACTGCTCAGAACTTTTTTTGTTTAAAAAATTTTTTTATTTTAAAGGTGTGGGGTACAATTCAGGGTTAGGTATACAATCCTCATTATGCAGGTACCCTTGTTGATGAGGTGTGCCCTCCCCGGCAGTTTCCCACTACTGCCAATCCTTTTCTTACAGCATTACGATAATTGCTCAAGGTCCATTTGTGAGTGAGAGGATGTGATACTCAGTTCTTTGTTTCTGTGATAGATTACTCAGTATTATAGACTCTAAGTCCTTCCAAGTTGCTGTAAAGTTCAAAAATTTGTCCTTTTTATGGCTGCATAATATTCCACTGGGTTTATGTACCACATTTTAAAAATTCAGTCCTTTTTTGATGGGCAGCATGGTTGGTTTCATGTTTTTGCTATTGTGAATAATGCTGCAATAAACGTGTGTGTGCAGGTATCTTTTTCGTAAAGCGATTTGAGTTCCTCCAGGTATATTCCCAGTAGGGGAATTGCAGGGTCATATGGAAAGCTGATTTTTATATCTTTTGGGAATTGCCAAACTGTTTTCCACAGAGGTTATACTAGTTTACACTCCCACCAACAGTGTAGAAGTGTTCCCTTTTTGCTGTATCCTCTCCAGCATTTGTTATTTTTTGAGTTATTGATGACGGCCACCTTGACTGGAGTTAGGTGGTATCTCAGTGTGGTTTTAACTTGCATTTCTTTGATGACTAGTGAGGCTGAGCATTTTTTCATGCATCTGTTGGCTGTTCATATGTCTTCTTTTGAGAAGTACTTATTCATATCTTTTGCCAACTTTGTAATGGGGCTATTTGTTTTTTCCTTTTTGGCATATTTGAGTTCCTTGTAGATCCTAGATGCTAGGCTTTTGTCAGATATACAGGTGGTAAATATTTTTTCCCAGTCCATAGGCTGTCTCCCTGCTCTCCTGATGGTTTCTTTGGCTTTGCAGAAGATTGTCAGTTGGATGAGGTACCACTTGTCTATCTTATCTCTTATGGGCACTTGGGGTTTTGATCAGGAATTGATTGCTAGTTCCAATTTCCATAAGCATGTCTCCTGCATTTTCTAAGGTTCTTATAGTTTGAGGTTTTACATTTAGGTCTTTGATCCATTTAGAGTTGACTTTTGTGTATGGTGATAGGTAGGGGTCTTTTATTAATCTTCTGCATGTAGTCAGCCAGTTTTTCCAGCACCATTTACTGAATAGGTTCTCCTCTCCCCAGTGGTTGATGGTGAGGGCTTTGTTGAAGATGAGTTGGTTGAGAAATTGAGGTTTTTGTTTCTGGAATTTCTATCCTGTTCCATTGGTCTATATGCCTGTTCGTGTACCAATACCAGGCTGTTTAAACAGTTTTCGAACAGTCAATTCTGATGCCTTTGAGAGCTGCTGCCATTTTTTGTTTCACCTTTTCCACATTGA